AGATTTGGTTCTGATCCCTCTCAAAAAGGTTTGAGAACCATTTGGCAAACCTGGGCTGAGCCTTGAGAAAGCCTGATTGCCAGTCGATATGTTACTCTGGAAGGAAAACACCCTGAACTCAGCAGTTTTTGCTAAGGTGATGTTAAGGGTTGGGATCTAAAAAGTCAAAGGGTGCAAGCTAGATACAAGGTTCACTTGAATCCCCACCAGTAAACCTACTGACCTTCATGCAGCTCTATCATTAATGCCTATAACATACCAGCGGCAGGTCAGCCACGCCGCAGAGAGAAAACATCTGGGCTTCCACTCACTGCTTGCTCTTGCTCCACTGAAATAGAAGGCAACCTGTCCATTGACTTCAAGCAGGCACAGACCATAGCAGTACTAAAACAGTAGATTGAGGGGCACTCAAAGAATGAGAGAGAGAAGATAAACTAGAGCGGATCCGGCCCTTTGTGTGCCTTGCAATTACCAGCATCTAGTTATTGCATGACACATTTTGCCGAGGGGTTCCTTTGTTGCTGTAATAGCTTTTGATGAGCTCATGGGTCTGTGGGTTTTTTTTTTTTCACATTGCAAACACAAAATCTGAGTAAATGCAATCAGAGATCAATTATGTATGTGACGACTCCACAAACATTTGCTTTGGTCCGTCTGCCAGCAGGGACGAGGATTAGAAAGGGGACAGAACTCAATTTTACAACCCTTCCAAGCCTCGTTTTCTGCTTCATACTCAAAGTAAAACAAACATTTGAAAGAATTTGCCTGCACCTCGTCTATTGGTTTCTGAGGATACACAACCCACGTGGTTTTAAATGATCCCCTTTAAACTAACTGGCAGGCAAAGGGTTAAGGGGGTGAGACACTCTCCCTTGCTTTGCCGACCTCTGGATCCATCCCAGTTGAATTTGGACACGTGGGACAATACATGCAAAGTGGCACCAGCATTCCAGAGGCCCGAGTCCACCACTCCACAGGAAATCTGTAATTCCCACAGATGTCAGAACCAGGCCCCAGCTTGCTAAAATTAGCTGAGGCAGGCTAAATGACAATCCCTGAACTAGTCGAGAAATCTTTCGTGATCTCCTCCACTAGCTCCTCCATGGCTCTGTGTATCAAGTTGGAATGTCCTTGCTTTCAAACTCGACTTCTCAGAGACTTTAACTCTAGAAGGGACCATCGTGATCCTCTAGTCTAACGGTTCTCAAACTTTCTGGCCCGCAGCCCACCCCGCTCTTTCTGCGGACCACCAGCCAACCATCATGATGACAAAATGGGTGCAAGAGCAGGCTGGGGGTGGAGAGGTCTGGGTGGGAGGCAGGGTGCAGAAGAGGGCTAAGGGTAGAAAGTCTGGGAGGGAGGGAAGGCAGGTTCAGGAGCAGGATGCGGGCATGGGGTCTTGGGAGGAGGGGGTACATGAGAGGGACGGGGGGCATTTACGTGGCTCAGTGCCTCCTGCCGCTCCCAGGCACCGCTCCCTCACTGCTCCCATTGGCCAAGATTGTGGCCAATGGGAGCAGCAGGGAAAGCCTTCAGGCGAGTGGTTTCCTGCTCTGCCATTCCCCCAGGTAGGAGGAGGGGGAGTGGCAGCTTGCAAAGCTGCTCCCTCCCCCACTAGCCGGATCCAACCCACGAGGCTCCCCCTCCCCCCCACATCAAGAAGCCGGCGCTCCAACCTTGCAGGTGGCATGGGGGTGGAGTGCCAGCAGAGGCTCCCTGCTGCAGGGAAGAGATGAGCCCCAAGCCCGCAGCCCACCTGCAAGAGATCACAGACCACTAGTGGTCCATGGACCCTACTTGGAGAACCACTGCTCTAGCCTGACCTTCTGCACATCACAGGCCAAAGACTCTCACGCACACTCTCCTGCCATAGGCCTGTAATCTCCAGCTGTTACTGAAGCTCTCGTCTCTTGATTTGCCCACTTGAAGTCACAAAGAATCCATCTGCCAGGCCCCTGGGAAAGACCCGTCTGTAATAACTCCCCATCTGTTGTCCCACCACTAGCTCTTAGAGATACTTGCTGCTAGCCATTGTCAATGGGCCACATGCTTTTTAGGCAGACCCTTCATGCCACCCCTCCAAAAATGTATCATGCCCAAATCTTGAAACAAGTTGGGTTTTTACCACCACGGCTCCCCCGGAACTCCACTCTTCTGACGGTTCGAAACTTTTTGTCACAAGCCTAACCCTATTGGTGGTCAGTCTATATCCATTTGTTCGTGTGCCAACCACTAACTTAAATAACTCCTCTGCCCCTCTGGGCTACGTCTAGACTGGCATGATTTTCCGGAAATGCTTTTCACTGAAAAGTTTTCCGCTAAAAGCATTTTCGGAACAGAGCATCTAGATTGGCAGGACGCTTTTCGGCAAAAGCACTTTTTGGGGAAAAGCGTCCGTGCCAATCTAGACGCGCTTTTGCGCAAAAAAGCCCCGATGGCCATTTTCACGATCAGAGCTTTTTTGCGGAAAACAAATCTCAGCTGTCTACACTGGCCCTTTAGCGCAAAAGTTTTGGGCAAAAGGGACTTTTGCCCGAACGGGAGCAGCATAGTATTTCCGCAAGAAGCACTGATTTCAGACAGTAGGAAGTCAGTGCTTTTGCGGAAATTCAAGTGGCCAGTGTAGACAGCTGGCAAGTTTTTCCAGAAAAGTGGCTGATTTTCCGGAAAAACTGGCCAGTCTAGACACAGCCCTGGTGTTTATGTCTCTGCTGTGTGCATAGAGAGCAATCAGACCCATCCTCAGTGCTCCTTCCTCTTCAGCAGTCCCACTTCTTGCCCTGCTTCACCACTCAGGTTCTGCCAACATCTCAGTCGCCTCTGTCCAGCCTCAGTTTCCCCTCCATCTCCTTCTCTAATGTGCATCTCTGCCCCTTCTGCCTTGCCATCCAGAATGCCCGGAATTCTCCCCCAAAACCTCTTTGCTGACCCAGCACGCTCACCTCGTTAAATCGCTCCTGGCCGCAGCCCAAGAAAGAAGAGAAGAGAACAGAACTATAATAAAAACAGTTAAAAACTC